GGGTTTAATTTTTGCTATAATGTGAAGAGACTGTCTCAATCTATTTTGTAATTTTGTATGTTTAATTTTGTTTTTGGAGTTTGGAGACAAAAAGTACCAAAAGCTTGGCCAAAAAAAAGATGTAGCCCTGCTATACAGCACTCTCAGATCAGATAAGTAATTTCATTGTCACGCTTGCTGAGTTTGACAAACCACACAACCCTATCTACTCCTCATTAATCAAATTAAAAGTTACATGTAAAGCCTGGTATTATAATAATTAGTTTATTTATTTTAACAGTTACATTATTTATGATCATTTCTTCAGCTTATTTTTAGCATCATTGTATTGACTGTCTACAAAGACCCCAATAGCCTCTACTGGCTTGTTATGGCAGTCTTGACAAACATGTATATCATCATTGCTTCTTTTCTTGAAGTACTAGTTCCAGTGAGTTTTTATAATTCTTTTTTATTTTGTAATTCATAAATAATTTTTAGGATTTATTATTTTGGATTTTTGCTCTCATACTTGATACAGTAATTGTTTTAAATTCAGTAAATACTATATTCAGTTTCCCTTTGGTAAGTACTGGTATACCATTAAGGTGGGTTCTCAACATGACGCATGCACTTCCATCATGACCAGAAGTGTTATATAACAAATGAAAGCATGTGTCAATGCGTCAGATTAGAAATTTTTTATAATTTTCTGCATTGACGCATACTTCCATTTGTTTATACAACACTTCCAGTTGTGATGCTAGCACATGAAAAGCAATGTGTCATATTGAGACCCATCTTTAGTTAGTACTCAATATTACTATTCATTGTCATATTTTTTCCTTCTCAGTTCTTATGTGCAGTTTTATTGCTATTACTGATGAAGAAAGAATTTTACTCGGCTACTAACGTTATACACATTACAAATGAAGCAAGTTTTATTGTTCAGTGACACATTTTGCTTTGTCTGTGATAGTGATTGCTTATTGTAGTTTTACGTGCCTTGATGATTGTTTTTACTATTCTTCTGTAGAGTAGTCACATTTAATTCTAATGGAGTGTGACCATACTAAAGCTAGGGTTTGGGACTAATGCAGTTATTAATGACACAAAAATAGCACTAGATATATGAACCCATACTTAATTTTAATGCTTATAAGTTTCAGTAGCATTTTAGCCAAGGAAGCAAATAATTTTTAGGAGGCAAAAGAATCAAAACCATATAAATAGGATACCGTAGAAGAGATTGTTGCTATTGCATAAAATTTTTTTGAGGATAATAATTTTTGCGAATGACTTGTATCCAGAGGTTTAAAAATTGATTTCCCAAGTTTCTACTTTTCTGCCATCTTTTAATTTTGCAAATCTTAAGAAATTCACAAAATTTATTATCCTCGAAAAAAACACTATACTGTATGATTTTATATGCAATATGGTATACTCTCTCTCTCTTTTAGGATGGAGCAGTGTTTCTGGTATACGTTGTACTATGGGCCCTAGGTATACTGATTTGTATTACTAATGCAGCAAGATTTGATGCAGCAAAAACTGATAGTATTGGCATTGGTCCTGGAATCTCTGTGGTAAGTCTATGTTTATTGTTATGTATTAATGAATCTACGTATAAATGGGCTTTACCGTATAGCGGGAAATTTTGGAGGGAGTAAAATTGGGTGAATTGCTTAATTTTGGTTATTGGCAGATTTTAATTTGGCAAATTAGTGGCACGTGCCATTGAGCATGTGTATAATGGCTCAAAATGGCGGGGTTTTATTTTGGCGAAGGGCTATCAAAACGCCAAATTCGCCAAATTTAATTCCCTCCAAAATTTCCCACTATACGGTATATTGAGTTAGTATTTTTGAAGTGCTTACTTTTAAAAATCAGCCGCATTTTAGCCTCCATACTTTATTACAGTTGTGCAAAATTCAATTTGTGATTATTTTTAAATCTAAAATTAATTGTCGCTTATTATTATAATAATGTTTGGACTCACCCACACTTTGTGTTGGTAAGCTAAAGGCTCTTCATGTTTTTTGATTGGTTTTGTTCTTATATACATTTAAAATGAGCCCATTTTTGTTTTTTATAGATATCAATGGCCATATTGGCTTTTGTTATTGCTCTGAGGATATTCAAGACTTGTAAAGAGGGAAGGAATGAAAGTGTTTCTACTTCTGTCATTTGAACGATTTTATAAGTGTTGTTTTTCTGTGAATATTATTGCACTTTATCATCTTTTGAGGCAATAATTTTATTACGATAACTTACTAAGTATGCAAATTTTATTGAAAAGTGTTAGGAAAGAATTCTATTCAATTTTAGGCAAAAATTACCAATAGTTGATCTAAGCAATATTTAGCATGTAATTTCAAATCATAACAAAATTATATTTATTAACAACAAAACAGTGTGAGCTAAAATAGTTAAGTAGCATTGGTAAAACAATGAAGTTTAAGTTTAAATGTTATATGCATGAAATTACTCATCAACATTACAATTATACGGTCTGGTTTGTCTTTATTTTTTGGTCTTGGTCTAAATGATAAAAATGGGAACAGATCCTTTCTTTCCATTTTCATGAGTTTTCCATGTCCTGAGGGCAAATATTGCGTTCAATAGAATCAATATGGTAGCAACTACTCCAAATGCCTAACAGACAAGAAAGATTGCAATTAAAATCGATAATTATGTTAAAGGTATTCAGTAATGTAAAGTGTATATAGTAGATTAAATAGCACATGTGGACACTGTGCTAAAGCCTGGTTCCCATATACCCACTAGTAGCCTACAACACTTGCAATAATCGGGGAGGATTGAAATTAGGTCTGTCTCTACACAGACTTCTTGCATAACTTACAGCAGAAACTCCAAGCACAACAGCTTTAAACCTTGCAGCATCGACGATAGCTATCAGAACAGCGAGCACAAAACAACCAGCATATATGAAGCATATGATTCCATCCTACAATACAATAAAGTTAGTAACATTGATCAATTATTGCATTGACATCATAATTATGCTAAGTGAGTGTATATATAGTGCAACAGGAAATTGCTTTTATTACGTCTATGCCCTTGTTTCATAAAGTTTGTTTATACACACATACACTGAGATCATGAGCTTAATTAATAGCTTGAGGCTATTCACAAAGGAAGTTATGAATATCTAAACTTGTATGCACATCAAAAGATGAAGGGGTGCGTGTGTACTGCATTAAATCATCTCATCTTGTATCAAAGGAAGTGCTAAAGTTCAAATGTTGTCAGTCATTATATCATGAGTTTCTCAGAATATGACTACATCTAGGGGAATTTTCGTATACTTCATTTTATAGCATAGTTACTATGTTATAAAATGAAGTCAGACTAAAAGCAAGTAAAATTAAATAAGAACATCAGACCACTTCCTTAATGAAATTCCTACACCCATTGACAATAGTAAGAAAGAATAACTCACAATGAGTCTATGGACAAATATTCCTATCAGTACAACTTCAATGATGATAGTTATGATTGCATACACGATCCACCAGAGTGCCAGAGTTCCATTATACCATTCACCTCCACTGCGGTAATCGGCGATGGTCAGAATAAAGAAGAGTATGGTCACAATCTGAAAGATATAATCAAGTTGAAAGAAATATTATCAAGAGTACTTAAGTTTATAAATTCACAAGCTACATTCATATCTGTATGCATCAATATGACAGTCATTTTGCATAGTGCAATATAAAAACAGTGAAACATGTACACAGCAAAATTTGGCATTAGGTTTAAATTAGCCCATGTACGTTGACTGTATATAAAATTTAGCTGAATCTACTAATATATTTTACTTGACATGGGAATGATAAAATACATGATAAAGATGGGAATCTACTTTTTGCCAACAACTTGTGGTTAAACCTTTGATGTGGCTGAGCAACAAAGTTCCCGATGCCCATGCGGCTTTAAAATCCTCTTTTAGCATATAATATATGTGTATCTACATTATAACTAAGGACATATATTGGAGCTTACAAGTGATGCTACTCTGAGCATTCCTTCAATGCTTCTAAAGTACGTGTGATCAAAGCCTGGCTTTATGCTAGGGAACCATGAGGTCCGAGTTGTGGTGGTCTGTGTCACTGTAGCAGTGTATGTGTATGACCCTGACTGTACTGCTTGATCTGCTGCACTCATGTTTATCCCTAAAATGAGACAAACGGCATTATTGATAAAAAATACCATCTTCACCATTGTACTGTAGTTTCCATTTTTTGTTCAATAACAATGACTACAACAAGAGCTATAGTAGCTAATTCAAACTCACAGTTGCTGTGAAGGAAAAGCTTGTGAAGGGTTTTTCTATGAAGTTTCGGTGACTGCTGAGAACAAGAAACGCCAGCCTTTTATGCCTAAAGTAAAGAATTTAATTCATTATGATAATTATTATGATGATTGAAGCAAATATCTCCTTCCGGGTGAGCATCCGAGGTAGATATCATTATTGATTTAATTTAATTCAACCATGCCTACCCACGTGTCATATCTATTGGAAGAGAATTAGGAGTCTTTTATGCTCAGGCCACGCCCGTATTAATAAGATGAACAAGAGGAGAGTGAGCTGTTTAGTAGTTGATTCTGGTCCATTTATAAAGGGAGTGGCTCTACAGGACTGGTCCCAGACTGTATATACTATCAGAGACGTTATTAGCGAGATAAAGGACAGTGAGACCCGCCAGAGACTACAAGTATTACCCTGTGAACTGATATTGAGAGAACCATCACAAGAATATATAAAACATGGTAACTGAGAGGAGATGATGCTTTATATTGTACAGTATATATAATTAATATTAGTCGTTCATGCATATAATTATAATGACGTCTGGGTATTTGGTCTGATTTTAGAGTAACTTTAAAATTTCATTAAAAATCCAATTTTATTGGAATCAGCTCAAACTTTTTACACAACATAAGTACATGTGTATGCATCAGGAAAAATAATAAAAATGAAAAATTCTTCCCTTTTCATATTTGACGAAATTTGGCCAATGATCCTGTACTATAAGTACTGGGACTTTGATCCAATTTTAAAGCAACTTTCTCAAAGTTTCTATAACATACATGTACGTGTAAGTACATTATGTATAAGAATAAATGAACATCTAGCCAACTACTCTAAACTTTTATTCTTCCTTTCACATTTGCCTTTTTTCTCTCCCTCCCTCTCCTTTCTGATACATGTTGATGTCCTTATGCTGTGTAGAAAGTTTGAGCTGATTCCAACTTCAATTTTTCAAGTTATGGCCATTTTTTTTAAATAGCCAGTTTTTTTTTCAAAAAATGGCTCCAAAATCATCCAAAATTTTTATTACATTTTCTGATACATATTGACTTCCTTATGCTGTGTAGAAAGTTTGAGCTGATTCCGACTTCAATTTTTTGAGTTATGGCCGTTTTTTTAAATGGCCAATTTTTGAAAAATACCCAAGGCTATAGCCCATGGTTTTTTTCAAAAAATGGCTCCAAAATCATCCAAAATTTTTATTACATTTTCTGATACATATTGATGTGCTTATGCTGTGTAGAAAGTTTGAGCTGATTCTGACTTCAATTTTTAAAGTTACGGCCATTTAAAAAAAAATGCCAAAATTCTGAAAGATACCCAAGGCTATAGCCTGTGGTTTTTTCCAAAAAATGGCCCTGAAATCACCCCAATTGATGCTTAAAATAAATATTCTAATCTACACGCACACTCATAATGATGCACATGTACATATTCATAGATGGTGATAAAGTACGGCACTAACTAATGACATTCTTGAGGAACAATTAGAAGAAGAGGAGGAGGAGGAAAGAGGAGAGGAAGATGGAGAGGGAGAGGATGATGATGATAGTTGGATTACTCCTGATAATTATCAGTCAGTTTGTGATAGTATTGGTGGATTGATGGAGGAGACTATTGATGAGATATCTGTTGGTTGTATGACCACTGACTATGCTATGCAGGTAATATTCACTAGTACAGTGTGTGTGTATTAATTACTGAGGTTTATTAGAGGGGCTTACTCTATGCAGTATTATTAGCATATATGTTTACATGTACATGTACATTTGGTTGATGTATTCATGTATACATTTGATGTAAAAATATTCATGTTCATCTCCTACGTCTGTAATGAATTTATATACTGTATAGTAGGAAATTTTGGAAAGAATTATAATTTTGTGAATTTGGCATTTTGATGGTCATTATTTTATTATGACTGCTATCAATTTTTTATCCCTACTATGTATAGATGTACATGTACTTGTATTTCTTACTCTCTCCCTCTCCCTCTCCCTCCCTCTCTCTCTCTCTCTCTCTCTCTCTCTCTCTCTCTCTCTCTCTCTCTCTCTCTCTCTCTCTCTCTCTCTCTCTCAGAATGTCCTATTACAGATTGGTCTTAATGTAGTCTCCATTGATGGAATGTTAATCAAGAGAATAAGAACCTACGCTCAACAATGCAAGGCCTGCTTCAAGTAAGTCAAGAAAAGATGCACAACACATAATAATTAGAGATGTACCAATTTGGGTTTTAGCCGATATTCCCACAGCTGATATTAACATAGCTAATACTGGTCAATACCGATCCAGTATTTTCCTTCCTACCTTTTAAGCACAGATTTACACACGTACAATGTGATTTATACATGTACACTACCGAATTTAGTGTCTTGACTAATTTTCAAGTAGTCCAAGTCATGTATTCATTCCATGCTTACATGTATGTACATGTACATACGTATGTATGAGACTGTATTTTGGGGTTGAGTGTTTTCCTATTATTCAACTGAGCATATATTCAATCCTTCATATTAATATATACAGTACAATATATATACATTGTATTTACTAATATATACAATATATATACATTGTATTTACTAATATATACAATATATATACATTGTATTTACTAATATATACATTGATCCCCTTACATCTCATCT